GATATATTTTTTCATTAATGTTGATGTAAAAATTTATAATTTTGCACCAAAAGGAACTTAGAAAACTTACCTAACCTTATTATAACAAGAACAATTTATTTTAGCCTAACCCAACTAAATATATTTTAGATTTGTTTACAGTAATTTAATACTAAACAAACACAGTGAAATATATTTTTTTTCGTTAGGTTCAGAATGATTTTGGCGAAATTATTGCATACACAAATTTTCACTTGTCCTATATGGCAAGATGAGCGTTACTATTTAAGCCAAGATCGCAAGTTCTGCCTATTCGGCACGACAACACACACACACACACACACACAATATATATATATATATATATATATATATATATATATATATATATATATATATATATATATATATATATATAATATATATATATATATAAGCAAAAACAACATGGGATCGAGTCCTGCGACTAGCCGAGGACTCGATCCCATGTTGTTTTGGCCCGCCTCATGGTGAGCAAAAAATCACATGACGCTCTAACCCACAGGACCACCAAATCCTACAAGAATCACGCACCCAGCTGACCTAGGTGTTTTACCGTGATCCGAGGACATACTGTGGTGTGGGTGAAATTAGCTCAGAGGCACTCAAACCACCATATGTCCTCGGATCACGGTGAAACACCTAGCTCAGCTGGGTGTGTGATTCTTGTAGGATTTGGTGGTCTTTTGGGTTAGAGCGTTATGTGATTTTCGCTCACCATGAGGAGAGCTAAAATATGGGTTCGAGTCCTCGGCTAGTCGCAGTGTTATTGATTAAATACCACTCGTTCGTTACTCACAATGAAACACCTGTATGCTGCAAGTGACATTTTATTTTCACTGCTTTCTGCAGGACTGAAAACTTAGGACCATGGTTATTAAAAACTTGAAGAAATTATAGTTTTCAGGGCACTTGAGTCCCTGACCCTGGCTGAGTCCCTGACTCTGGCTGAGTCCCTGACTCTGGCTGAGTCCCTGACTCTGGCTGAGTCCCTGACTCTGGCTGAGTCCCTGACTCTGGCTGAGTCCCTGACTCTGGCTGAGTCCCTGACTCTGGCTGAGTCCTAGACTCTGGCATGAGTCCCTGACTCTGGCTGAGTCCCTGACTCTGGCTGAGTCCCGACTCTGGCTGAGTCCTGACTTGGCTGAGTCCCTATCTGCTGAGTTCCCTGACTCTGGCTGAGTCCCTGCTCTGGCTGCTACGCCACCATAACACTACTCGTCTTATGTTACATGCTAATTTATGGATACTATGTGACTCCTTTAATTGCTAAAATCTTTGGAATTTCCACATATATATCTGTGTTCGATTCCTCGGCTACTAGCCGAGTGTTGTTATTGATTAACACTACTCGTTCGTAGTTACAATATTATATATATCCTACTCGTGAGGCAAGTACACCAAACGGGGAGTAGAATGAAATTAGCTCAAAGGCACCCACACCACGGTATGTCCTCTGATGACGGTAAAACACCTAGCTCTGCTGGATGCATCATTCTTGTAAGATTGTGTGGTCCCGTGGGTTAGAGCGTCATCTGTGATTTTCGCTCACCATGAGGTGGACCAAAACGACATGGGTTCGAATCCTAATCCTTGGCTAGTCGCAGTGTTGATAATATATATATATACAAGGAATTCGCGAGAGCATGCGAAATATACACAAACACTGATCTCTGGCTGAAGGAGACTCGAACCTACGAACCTTAGGACAAGGTACGCAGTGCTTTACCAATCTACCCACACTGGACCAATACCTTGGCGTGTAGCATGCGCTACTCGTTTGATCCAAGGCAGCCAGCTTTCAGGGAGAAGGCTTACAGCTTTTCATCTCATCCCCTGCATACATCAGCCTTACTAGAGATTTGAACAATGCAAGGAATTCGCGAGAGCATGCGAAATATACACAAACACTGATCTCTGGCTACACGCCATGCTACACGCCAAGGTATTGGTCCAGTGTGGGTAGATTGGTAAAGCACTGCGTACCTTGTCCTAAGGTTCGTAGGTTCGAGTCTCCTTCAGCCAGAGATCAGTGTTTATATATATATATATATATATATATATATATATTATATATATTGTGTGTGTGAAAGCACACACAAAAGCAGAGTGATTTAAGAAAAACTTATGCCCATCAATGATTCCCTAACTTTTTTGCTATAACTGCGTAGAAATCACAATTGAAATAAGCTCTGACCAGCAACCTTCCCACTCATCCTTCACAATGAAGTCACTTTGTCATATCTGGAAAACTCAAGTCTGGCTCTCAGGTTTCCCCGAATCTCTTCAAACACATTACGTTGCTCACACTTTGTCTGAACGTCATTTCTCAAAAATCTCTTATCTCAACTTCGATCTAACGCGTTGACGCACACATTCCTGCATGATGCCCAAGCCCCTACCTCTCAAAGCCTCCTGTGCATCCTCCTCCACAGAGCTTTCCCTACATTTTCTTTCCAAACCTTGTTTATAATCCTCGGGGCCAGAATATACTTAAAAATCATTAATTTGAAGTAAAAGTTCCTAAACCTATAAATTTTAATAAACATTTCTTAAAAATTAATAAAGCCGTATGAAGAACATAAGAAAACATTACTGCATATGGAGACTCTTATCCATGGCGTTATCTTAACCTGCTGGAGCATTTCCTCATCACCATAACATCACATCAATAATTCATCTCCCGGAATTATAACTTTCTGACCCTCACGCAGTGTTTTAATTTTCACTCTCTATTCTCTGCATAATATTCACACCACACACTGATCTCAAGCGCTGCTTCATACTACCTGGAATGTTGAAAGATCATGCCAGTGGTGGAACTACTTCCATCCATTCCAGTGGTGGTACCACTGTACTTTTTTAGTGTTCACAATTTTTTTGACGCCCAGTGACAAACTTTCTTTCTACAGACATCTCAACATTCCCATATCATCATCTTCTCATCCTTCCTGCAGATGACCTTGTCTTTCGTAAACCAATTTACTGATACATCCATTCAAAAATATCTAAATACAGTCAATACCTTTATATTCCTTTCTCATAGCCTACCACATTATATATATATATATATATATATATAAAATATATATATATATATATATATAATATATATAATAATATATAATATATATATATAGAGAGAGAAGAGAGAGAGGGGAGAGAGAGAGAGAAGAGAGAGAGAGAGAGAGAGCGTGCCTAATAGGTAAAACTGGTCAATTAGCAAGAACTCATTTAAAATTAAGTCCTTTATAAAATTTTCTCTTATACGTTTAAAAATATATTTTTGTTCATCAATGTTAATGTAAAAATTTATAATTTTGCACCAAAAGAATCTTAGAAAACTTACCTAACTTTATTATAACAAGCGCTATTTATTTTAGCCTAATACAACTAAATATATTTTAGATACGTTTACAATAATTTAATACTAAACAAACACAGTGAAAATATATTTTTTTCGTTGGGTTCAGGATGATTTTTGCGAAATTACTGCATACACAAATTTTCGCTTGTCTTATATGGCAAGATGAGCATTGCTATTTAAGCCAAAATCGCAAGTTTTACATATTCGGCACGACATATATATATATATATATATATAAATATATATATATATATATATATATATATATATATAAAATATATATATATATATATATATATATATATATATCCCACTGTGACAAACCGATTATGGAAAAAATAGCTAATACAATGCTCTCCAACGCCTCAGGAAAGGACAAAGCTCGTCTCCTGGCAGTGAAGGCACCACACTCAGATTTCCTGTTAGCTGTTCCCAATTCCTCCCTGGGCACTCGACTAGACCCACAGGCCATTCGGATTGGTGTTGCTCTTCGCCTAGCCGCCCCCATCCTCACCGAACATAGGTGTATTTGCGGCAGGGCGACATTTGATCAATTCGGACTTCATGGTCTCGTGTGTCACACAGCAGAAGTATGCCAGGCATGAGGAGGTCAATGACATCATAAAGAGAAACCTCGCCACAGCCCGTTGCCCAGCTCAACGGGAACCCCAAGTGCAGAGGTCTGACGGAAGTCAAAAGCGTCCTGATGGAGCCACTATGCTACCTTGGAAGGATGGAAAGCAGATTGCCTGGGACTACACCTGTGCCGCCACATTGGCAGACACCTACTTGCCATATTCCGTAGTGGAAGGGGGTGGAGCTGCCAGCCACAGGGAGACCCAGAAGATCCGCAAATATGAAGACCTTCCCCCTTGCTATAACTTCATCCCAAAAGGGTCGGAGACCCTTGGAGCATGGGCAAGTGTGCTCTAAAGTTCCTCAAAGAGCTGGGTGAAAAGCTCATCATAGAAACCAAGGACCACAGGTCGACCAGCTTCCTCTTTCAGAGATTCAGTCTTGCGATCCAGAGAGGAAATGCCTGCAGCATTCTGGGCACGCGGTACCATATATATATATATATATATATATATATATATATATATATATATATATATATATATAATTATTGTACTCACGGAACAAGTGGTATTGATCAATAACAACACTGCACTAGCCATGGAGTCGAACCCATGCTGTTTTGACCTGCCTCATGGTGAGAGAAAACGCATAACGCTTTAGACCACTAAAGCGTCATGCGTTTTCTCTCACCATGAGGTTAATTCCAACTTCATTAAATATACTGACGTTTTTCTAAGAGTATTCTTTTGTTGATTTACAGATATATATTTAATTTGAACTCGTGCCAGAAACAACGGGTAATTCATTTTAACCCAATTCTTCTAAACATAATGGAGATCAGTTTACATTTATTTAATAAAATTTATAATCAATGACATATTTTATTTTCGTCATGTTCAGACTAATTAACTCTGATTTATTGTATTAAAAATTTTTTACTCTGTTTATTCGGCACGACATATATATATATATATATATATATATATATATATAATATATATAATATATATATATATATATATATATAATATATATATATATATAATGTTAGATATTTATGAAAAGTTAGATAAACAAGGGAGGTTGTTTCTCCTGCGGGAGGCCGAGTTCAGTGTTCCTGTAGTAGTACTGAGAGGAGGTGTGGCAGGGGATGGCACTGCCCTCCTGCAGGCAGGTCATCTCCCTCTGGTCGAACATGCTCCCGTCATTACACATGAAGCTGTGGAAAGAAAATTATTTTCATCACTCAGTTTCGTAAGTTACATGGAAGTGTAACATGCGGCCTTGCTGACTGCATACTGCATACTCTTGGATCAAGAGCCTCATTAGCTTCAAAACCTTACTTTTGTAAGGGTGAAGCATAAAGAGTACTTGGTAATTAGCCAGCACTAGAACTGACCAAGTACACGGCTACTCACTGATAAATGCAGGTATCAAGAGGTCTTCTCTTGTCAGGAAATTGTCAAAAGAACTTTATATGTCAGACTTGAGTCAAAAGGTCTTTTTGTTTTGTCATATAGGTATCGAGGGATCTTCAGTATTGGTATTAAGTCAAGAGGTCATCATCTTTATTTGTAATTAGTCTAAATGTATTCGCCTATACTAGTATTGGTTCAAAAGGCCCTTACCTGTGCTAATAATATATAAGGAAGTCCTCACCTATACTAGTAATGTATGAGAATGTCCTCACCTGTGCTAGTAATGAGTGAGGATGTCTAAACCTGTATTGGATATCCTCACCTGTATTGGTAAGTCTCGATGCGACCACTGGCAAAGTGAGCTGGGTAGCATACATGGAAGACTCTGCAGGAGTTCTCTTGATCAGCGTAGTAACCGTAGGGCTGGTCAGTGCAGCTGAAGGTGCTGGTGATGTCTCCCAGCAAGAGTCTGGCCCCAGAGGACAGGTTCAGTGGTTCCAGAATACCATTTAGTTGCTCCAGATCATCACTGGAGCGTAGCAGATGAGTTCCTTCTCTCGGGAAGTCAGATGAGACCAGGTAACCTTGAACGACCCGTGTTCTTGTGCCCTGCTGGTATTGGCTAAGCTGCGTCTGTGACTGAAAGGGTGTGGAATCTTGCTTTATGTTAAATTGTTGGCTGAGCCTGAATTGAGGTTTCGAACTGCTGCCAGCATAATGGAATCCACTTCCACTCACAGTTATTTTGCTAGATTCCTGTTGAATGTCGCCGAGCCCTTCCCGAAATGCTACTGTGCCTTGCTGGAATCCGTTTAAGCTTTGTCGATTTCTGTCGAGGATGCTTTGAGTGACTCCTGACGTTTGTCCTTGTTCAATTCCGTCGGAATGTTCCTGGGTGCTAACCAGTTTCGGTTGAGAATCACTGAAGCTTTCTTGGAATCCGTCTAGGCTATCCTGGGACCTAGTAACTGCTGTTTGTGATATTCTGGAGACTTGCTGAAAATCCACAGGTCCTTGACGGGCACCGGAATGCTGTTGATCTCTTAAACCTTGTTGGGAACTATCATAAAACTTCTCAGAGCTTTTAAACTCCTGAAGCCCATTTAAATCTTGCTGGACCGAATCTTGTCCTTGCTGAGACCGGGTGATCGGCTCCTGGGAACGTCTGAGATCCTGCCGGAACAAATCACGTCCTTGCTGAAACCTGGTGATCGACTCCTGTGAACTTCTGGAATCCTGCTGGAATGAATCACGATATTGCTGAGACCTAGTGATCGGCTCCTGGGAGCTTCTGGGATCCTGCTGAAATGAATCACCTCCTTGCTGAGTGCCGGAGAACGGCTGTTGGGAACCAGTGTTACTCTGCTGGAAGTTATCGCTTCCTTTCTGAGAACTGGCGAATTGCTGCTGAGCCTCTTTGAAACCCTGCTGGATCTTGTCCCTCTCTTGTTGGGAGATGCTGGAACTCTGGACGTTTTCATGTCCCAGCTGCGAACTGCTCATTGGCTGCTGGAAGTCATTAGGTCCCTGCTGGACGTTCGTTTTTTGATGCGAGTTTATGAACGGCTGCTGAAAGTTACTGGAAATTTGCTGAAAGCCGTCTGGTCCTCTCTGGGAGTTAGTGAATGGTTGCGTCAGGCCATCTGAACCTTGATGACAGTTATTATCTTTTTGTTGAGAGCCGCTGAGTTCCTTCTGGAAGGTAGATGAACCTTGCTGAACTGTAACTGTGATTGGAAGACCACTGGAACCCTGCTGGAAATCATGTTCTTCCAATGGCTTATGGCCCAGCGGCTGTAAGGCATTGGAATCGTGCTTATCTTTATTCGAGGCAGATTTAGGGCCGGTAAAGGGTCCTAGAAGACCTACAGAAGTTTGCTGTAAGATGGAGCTCAACGGATATACTTGATGGCTACCAAATACCTGGTGATAGCTGATCCCTGGCCTATGTCTTGAACCTGGGTCGTCTTGTTTGAGTTTTAAAACGGCATTCTTCAAGCCAGCATGAAGAACCAATTCTGATGGATGACCAAGGAACGTCACCTCGCCGCCATATCCATTTGTCGGTAAATGCTGGGCGCTGGTCGTGGCCAACACAACACCTGAGGAGGCACACACAAGCCATTCGTATATAAACACACAATTAGCGCGTCATGGTAAAAATAAACCGAGAGAATATTTTAATGTTTTACTTTACTTTGAGAATGCCAGTGAAGGGTAAATGAAGAATTTTTTTTAGTAGAGATTCTAAACTAGAACCTCTGCTAAAAAACTCACTCTCTCTCTCTCATAATATATATATATATATATATATATATATATATAATATATATATATATATATATATATATATATATATATATGCAAAACAACCACTCTGAAAGAATAGAGAAATTCCAAGCGCTTTCGTGACTACTCACATAGTTCCTTGATAATGTGAGTAGTCACGAAAGCGCTTGGAATTTCTCTATTCTTTCAGAGTGGTTGTTTTGCATATTTTGAAATCACCTGTTTACTGTGATCTTATTTGCATATTATATATATATATATATATATATATCTATATATATATATATATATATATATATAATATATATATATATATATATATATATATTGAACCATTTATTCACCACTAATTAGAAATTAAGTCTACATCAAGACTTCTTCAAATCAGAAAACATCGCATAAAAATAGATTTTGAGCCATGTTAAAGCAAAGTAATACAAATAAACAGATAATTAAGCACTACATATATAATAACCGAGCGTTCAGTAATACACAGGGAAGGTGGTAGCTTCTCTGACGGTGTAGAGAGACTACTGTAGCCAGCTCAGTGGTGATGGATCAACTGGACAACACAGACACAGAACTCACATCTACAGTGTAGTCTGAGGCTTCACAATGTTAGTGTATGGCGCTAAATAGTGGTTTACCTAATGATCTTTTTGCCCTAATATATCTTGCTAACAGATTTTTCTATGTCGTTGATGTCAGCTAGGCCTGTATGACTTGTACTTGTAGAAATAAAGATATTATTATAAAGTTGAGGATCCCGCAGCTGACGCTGACTCGCCATACGTAGTATTACAGCTCTGGTAATTACATTTGTAAACTAGAGAGGACTGTAGGTGAACAGGTATGACATCCTCTTGTATGGTGTATTAAGGCTTGAATACAATCATGTAAACTGTTGATAAAATTCTTTTAACAATTTTGTTAGGCTATGTTTTCCAAGTAGAGATATTTTTTGTCTGAAAATTATTGGGGAATAGAGAACTGTTGTTAACAATATTTGTTGGTGATGGAGGATTTAATAACATATGTGGCTGTGTACACAGTCTATGAAATATTTGCTAAAACAATTGGGAAAAAGGTTGCCTCGAATAAATTCAAATTCGGAATGGAGGTTGAAATACTACGAATATAATGAAAAACTTTAGTAGTTAATGGGGTTATTAAATTTCGTTTATACTGGACAGGAATAAACGAAGAGGATATGGATTTTTTTACATGATTTCCTAAATGTAGAACATGTAAATGAATATAATAACTGTGTAATAAAATATGCTGATTTGACCCTTGCGAAAAATTTCGAGTGAAGGTGTAGAAGATCTGCGGAATGACGCCGGGGAGACGCCATATTGAATTTAATGTGTGAACACTGGACTGAGTTTTGCAATATGATCGTGCGTTCTCGAAAGTCAATTAGGGTTTTTCGGCCTGAATTTGTAACTAGGAACCTGTGTTAATTGTCCTGCTGAAGAATTGGGACAGGAAATATGTAGGACCTCAAGAATTACGTGTGGATTGCAGAAGATAAGTGATATGAACATCACTCATAGGGAAGTGCACCATTAGTCCTTGCATTTAGATCTCTAGCTGGCCAGTGTAGGGTCTAGGTGTTAGGCAGGTGTTGTGGTGTGATCCATCTACAGTAATTAAATGGTAAATGTTAATACCAATTATATTCTGTGTACCCAGCAAGTCTAATTATATACAGTTCACAACTTTAATTTACCAGAGTAGCTGGTTTTAATATTACAATATTAATTTAATGTCAGATCTAGCGTTTTGTGAGAGTGGTAGGGAGAGGCAACGAGGGGGTTACAATTCAGCTACCTGCTGTGACTTAAGTCCCATATACCTCACCAGGTAATAATTCAGGTAATGCCCTGTAAGCCTCCTGCAGGTGATTTGCTCACATAATAATAATAATAATAAAAAAATATCACAGAGGATTTTGTACCTAAGCTTATGGATGCTGGTTTAACTATACTATACTCTTTTATACCAATCAATTATAAACGAAATTTGAAACCTTCATTAACTACACATCTCGGTGTACATGCATCTGAGAAATGCATACCTATCGGTGTAAGTACACTCAGATATACATAATTATCAGTGTGCAAAACAACCATTGTGAAAAAAATGAAATTCTAAGTGCTTTCTTGATTTCTCATATTATCACAGTTCCTTGATAATGCGAAAAATCACGAAAGCGTTTGGAAGTTCACTATTTTTTATAGTGGTTGTTTTGAATATTGTGATATCACCTGTTTACTGTGATCTTATTGCACTTCTCAACTATGTGACCTGTGTCGTCAATGGTTAATGAGGTTTAAAGCCTATCTACTACACGGTAAACTTTTACCAAAAATAGGGATTAGAGTAATTTCTCAGCTCACATACGCTGAGAGAAATGCTCTCCTAGGTATATGTATCCCGTAGTCAAAAACTTACATATTAGAAGGAGAGTCATGGTGTACACCACATCACAGCTACTGAAGAAATGACTGCTTGCATAGCAGTAGAGGGTGTTTTTATACCCTCTGGTCCCCGTGGGTGCCACCTAGTGGATATCCACTGAGACACACTTCTCATGTGTCTATCATGAGATACTTACACTTCTCGTGAGTATATCTACAGACGTACACATCTCTCGTGCATATATTCTCAGATACTCACACCTCTCGTGTGTATATCCACACATTTCTCATCTCATGCACATATTTACAGACATGCACACACGTCTTGTATTTCCGCAGAGATGCACACCTATCGTGTGTGCCGCTACTCGCTTCAGTGTATATATATATATATAATATATATATATATATATATATATATATATATATATATATATATAAATAATATGAAAGGAATTCGCAAGAGCAGGCGAAATATACACAAACACTGATCTCTGGCTGAAAGCTGGCTGCCTTGGATCAAAGTCTAGGGCAAGCTGGACTCCAAGGTATTGTCCAGGTGGGTAGATTGGTAAAGCACTGCGTACCTTGTTCCAAGGTTCGTAGGTTCGAGTCTCCTTCAGCCAGAGATCAGTGTTTATATATATATATATATATATGTCGTGCCGAATAGGCAGAACTTGCGATCTTGGCTTAAATAGCAACGCTCATCTTGCCATATAGGACAAGTGAAAATTTGTGTATGTAATAATTTCGCCAAAATCATTCTGAACCTAACGAAAAAAATATATTTCACTGTGTTTGTTTAGTATTAAATTATTGTAAAAGTATTTAAAATATATTTAGTTGGATTGGGATAAAATCAATTGTTCTTGTTATAATAAGGTTAGGTAAGTTTTCTAAGTTCCTTTTGGAGCAAATTTATAAATTTTTACATCAACATTAATGAAAAAAATATTTCTTTAAATGTATAAGATAAAATTTTAGAAAGGACTTAATTTTAAATGAGTTCTTGCTAATTGACCAGTTTTACATATTCGGCACGACATATATATATATATATATATATATATATATATATATATATATATATATATATCTATCTAAGAGTATATACACTTCAAGCTATACAGTTATCTGTATATATAACATAGAAACAAGTGTATATGTCTATGTGCTCAAACTTCTCGGCGAGTATATACAGAGTTATATTTGTGAATATCAAAATGGTGTACAATACCGACAGGTTGGTAGGTAAGACATGTCTCCAAACTGTCGCTTGATCTTCAGATAGTTCCAGAATGAAGCAGAACTTCTCCAGGCTGAGGGACTGACAACCTCAAATCTACGACTTCAAGGGTGATGGACTGATAACATCGTCTTCACATCTCTGCTGCTCCTGCCTACTTTCTGTACTCGACTGAAGAAGTCTACTGTGTAAGCGAAACGTTTCGGAATAAAGTTGCTTAATTAACTGTTGCCTATGTGTCTTACCTACCAACCTGAGATACATTTATATACACAGATAAACACATCCGGATGTATATTCGCAAACATATCTGTTTGTATTTTGTGTATTTACAATATACAATTTTAGCTGCAGTTTGTATATTTTGTATACTATTAGATAATGGTTCGTATTATCTAATCCATGGGAAAGCGCTAGCCCCGTTGGGGTCATGCATCGCCTGGGACAATGAGAGGCGATCAGTCTTGATCCGAGGAAGGGAAGTGTAGAGCCACTTCCTTGGATGAAGAGCTTCTCAGCAGTGTTGAAAAGTTTAGGCGTCAGATCTAGCTCGTAGATTCCTAGGTGCAAGGCCTAGGAGCCGCCGTTACGTGTCAGGCCTAGGAGCCACCACTAGGTGCCAGGCCTAGGAACCATGTCATGTTGCTCCTGCTTGGGTAATTACCCTATAATTAGACATACCTTCCAGGCTGGGAATTTCATTAAGCTGTGAGATGGACCAGTCATTACACCAGACCCAGCAGTGCGGCAGTGACTGTAGCAGTGACTGTGGTAGTGACGACAGCAGTGGTTGTAGTAGTGACTATAGCAGTGACTGTAGCAGTGACTGTAGCAGTGACGATAGCAGTGACTGGAGCAGTGATGGTAGCAATGACGGTAGCAGTGATGGTAGCAGTGATGGTAGCAATGGCGGTAGCAGTGACTGTAGCAGTGACTGTAGCAGTAACTAGCAGTGACTAGCAGTGACTGTAGCAGTGACTAGCAGTGACTGTAGCAGTGACTGTAGCAGTGACTGTAGCAATGACTGTAGCAGTGACTGTAGCAGTGACTGTAGCAGTGACTGTAGCAGTGATTGTAGCAGTGACTGGAGCAGTGACTGGAGCAGTGACTCATACTGCTACATACAAGGAGGTTTTTCCCTCATATTGCTACATACAAGGTTTCCCCCTCATATTGCTTTATAGTAGGAGGTCTTTCCCTTCATACTCCTTTACAGAGGAAGATTTTCCTGTCATACTCCATCACACAGGGAGGTTTCCGTGCCAAGCCCTCAGTTTAACTGGGAGGCTTCCGTAGAGGGGCGACGATATCACCAAGCATTCCACTATTGGGTCAGTAGCTACGATAGTTTTAAGAGTTTTCTTCAAGCAGGGCTGGAACCGCGTTTATATTGGAAATTATATTTTCAGGATGGTATATTACACACACACACACACACACACACACACACACACACACACACACACACACACACACACACACACACACACACACACACTGATGTAGTGGAGGCAGGATCCATACAAGGCTTTAAGAAAATACGATTAAGCTTATAGAACAGGGAGAGTGAACCTAGTAGCGACCAACGAAGAGGCGGGGCCAGGAGCTGAGACACGAACCTTGCAGCCACAAATAGGTGAGTATACACACGCACACACACAGGGTTAGTATAATTTATAAGGGCATCTTGAAACAAAAAATGTATTTAAAGAATGGTTAGCAAACCTCTTTAAATGAGTTTGCGTCGAAAGTCTAAGTGACAGCCTGTATACTGTATAGTGGGACATACCTGATAACATATACATAAACAACGTTCAATGGGTCAGGGTTTCTAATCGTTACCATAAATTTTAGTCAAGAGATATGGAAGGAAGTGCAGAAAAAGTAACGTGAATAGCAGCGGAGCCATCGATACGGAGAACATTGTGTTAACATGCGTGGTCCTGGAGTCTTCAAGCCAGTCTTGGACCGGGCCGTGAGGGCGATGACCCCCCGGGAGACACTGCGGATAACTTAACCTTCAACAAGTTGATGTAGGAAATATTGATGGATCTGAATTATAAGTTTTCAGGAGGAAACTTTTAATTCAGTTTCTGCAATAAATAAAAGCTCAACCAGGATGTGATGGCTGTGCTGGCCTGCGTGCTGCGGATAGCAACAGTCTGCATGAACAGACCGGTTAACGGGAAAGTCTGGCCTCAGGTCTTGTTGCACATAGTTTGAGAAGCGTAATATATCTCAGCATTGATTACTACAACCTTCTGAGTCTGATACCGATCTGTGTATATCCGTAGTGTTTATTGCAATGTTTAAAAATGTGAGAACAGAGCTGGTAGTGTATGTTGCAACTCCTGTAAACGTGCAACTTTATATAATACAATAAACTCTGAAGACGGGATGTCACAAGCATAGTTCTGCTTCTTCTAGTAACAAGTAAGTACAGACAGGTAGTGACATAACTACGCACAAGGTAACAAGTATAACAGGTATCACAAGGCCATTCTCAAACACTTCTTACGTAACCATCACACACAACCAACCTCGTAGGAGTAATATATATATATATATATATATATATATATATAATATATACATTATATATTATATATATATATATATATATATATATATATATATATATACATATATATATATATATATATATATATAACACACACACACACACACACACACACACACACACAGGGAGAGAGAGAGAGATGCCACCTCTGGAACTGTCCTGGAGACCCTCATCCTCAGAGAAAAGAATAAACTTACTTTAGGGAAAGCTCAAGGCTCTCCCTGGAGCTGTTTGAATATTGTCTTCTTCTACCACTTCCTATATTATATATTCTATGTAGATTTTATTTAAAGATAAAATACATTGACAAAAATACAATAGGGAGTAGAACAACATAGATAACATCTCAGAGCCTGCATCTCGAATACTTCGTCCAGCTCCCCGGCGGTGGGCCGCGTGCCCAGAATGCTACAGGCATTTTCCCTTTGGATCGCAACACTGAGTCTCTGAAAGAGGAAGCTGGCCACTCCGTGAGCATTGGTTTCTGTGATGAGTTTTTCTCCCAGCACACTTGCGCCATGCTCCAAGGGTCTCCGACCCCACTGGGATGAAGTTACAACAAGGGGGCAGGCCTTCATATTGCGGGTCTTCTGGGTCTCCCTGTAGCTGGTGGTTCCACCCTCTTCAGCTTCAGAGCATGGCAAGTAGGTGTCCGCCAATGTGGCGGCACAGGTGCAGTCCCAGGCAATCTGCTTACTATCCTTCCAGGGTAACATAGTGGCTCCATCAGGACGCTTTTGACTTCCGTCAGACTTCTGTATTTGGCGTTCCCGTTGAGCTGGGCAACGGGCTGTGGCGAGGCTTCTCTTTATGATGTCGTTGACCTCATGTCTAGCATACTTTCCTTCTGTGTGACACAAGAGACCATGTAGTCCGAATTGATCAGCCGTCGACCTGCCGCAAAAACACTTATGTTCGGTGAGGATGGGGCGGCTAGGCGAAGAGCAACACCAATCCGAATGTCCTGTGGGTCGAGTCGAGTGCCCAGGGAAGAATTAGGAACAGCTAAAAGGAAATCTCCTGAATGTCGTGCCTTCACCGCTAGGAGCATGAGCTTTGATGAAAGTTAAGACACATGTGCAACTTCTGGTTGTCTTGTAGACGTTTCGCCATCCAGTGGCTTTATCAGTACAGGTTCTAGGACATAATTAGAAGACAATCGCACTATATACAAAAGATGAGGTAATCAGTCCCTCAGTGACTATGTCCTCGTCTGCTACACGTCCCTATCCACTGACGCCTATATAACCGCCAGTCTCCTTG